TATCATTGAGCCACAACCCCAGTCCCTGTTTTCCTCATTTTTAAGGCATATTTTATGATCCATATGGACAGCCATAAAGAAGGATTAGTATCCGTCCTTGACAGATTGGCAGAATTCAGCCAGGAAGTCTACAAGTTTTGATTGTGATTGTGCTGCATAAGCTTGGGAAGATAGTGTGTTCTGCTATGGTTGTGAGATGTATTTTAAAGAATTTGTTTTGCATTGTTGCAGAATCTCTGCATGTATGATAATTTTTAGATGTCTTATTTTTTCATTATTGGTATTGAGCAGTTTTATTAGTACACATTTTGACATTATCTTAAAAGCAGCTTGACTTTTTTTTGCAATAGTTTTTAATCTTTGTTAGTACAGAGTAGCATTTTTTCTAGGGATAATTTTACCTTACTATCAAGTCAAAACTTTATTTTTACCTGAGCCTATGAATTTTGATGTTATTTTGGCATCACAGATCCTGAGACAAGGAGCTGTTGGCAAACTAGTGGGACCTCCACAGATTTACTCCCTTCTTCTCCAGGTTTCTTCCAGTGCTTTGAAACTTTTCCTCACACATATGGTGGATGGGTCTTCAGCTAAAGACTGGAGGATGCTTCCCAAGGACCTCACACTCTTCACGAGACTTGCTCCTCCGATCATTCTAGATGCCCCCTTCTCCACTGCGTTAGTAAGACCACTGGGGTCCACCTGCATCCCCATTTGGACCACAGAGTGGAAACTCTTGGGCTGCAACTTATCTCATCTGTTTACAGTCTTTCACGGATTCCTCTTCTCTGTAACTTAACACCCATGTTTGAACAATGGTTGTTCCATATATTCTCAGTGTTCTTTTTGTTGTTTCTGGTTGGGAGGAAAACCATGCAATCCCTGTTATCTCTATCTTAGTACAAAGAGGAGTTTCTAGATAACAAGACAATATCATCTTTAATCAACTGTTGTAGATATTCAGTGAAGAGGCCATGGATTTAATGTTATATAAATTAATTTAAATAAATGACATCTAGTCCACCTTGTGTATTGTGACACAGTTTCTAGGCACAGAACCAGCAGCATCCCCATGATAGTCTACTAAGCTGAAAATCATGTTGTAGGTCAGTGCTTCATTTTTTTCTTTTCTAAGTTTTAGTTATTAACACTATAAATTGAACATGCTAATCCAGTCTCGCTATAGTATTTCATGCATGCATACCGCATGGGCTGGTCCTGTCCAGCCTCCTTCTACCCTCTGCCCACCTTGCCCTCTGCCTTGTCGTGTTGCCTGCTTCCTTCCAGTTCTTCTTCTACTCTCAGGTCACCTCTCTAAAATCTCCCCAGGAAAAGGGAAGTTTCTGTTATGCAATTTCAGGGTTCCTAACCATGGCAGGGGAGGTTTATGCCTTTTGAATCCAACACCAAACTGATACAGAGCCATATGTCTACAGAATAATCACTTAAGAGAATAGTAAAAGACATAAACATGCTTTTAAATGTCAATTTAAAGGAAGGTAATTCTATTTAAGTTGGTTTCCTTAGCCATCCCTAGAAAATGGCTTCCATATCGTCAAGCTGTATCCTTTGAGCACATTGAAGAAAGTACAAAAACAAAAAATGTGGAAAATAATGCAGGTGTCTTTACCTAATGTACACTGATTTATTTCTAAATTAGGCAAAGAACTTGAATCAAAGTCCTTAACATGCTTTGGAAGATACAGAAATCCTTATTATCATAAAGTGAGATGCTGAGAGTCACAGCCCAGTGGGAATGGCCCCTGGCATTTTGCCAGAAGTAATGGTTGAGAGGCGAGCAATTAAGATGATGCTGGCTGATTCAATTGTATATTAGACCTTTACTGTCCACCTCTTGGAGTTCTACTTTGGAGTTCTCAGGAGGATTGCCTGGGGAGTTTGCATTGTTTGGGGAAGTTCCGGGAGAGGGAGTTCCGGTTGGTGTGTGGTGTTCCTGGGGGCCTTGTGGGTGGCGTTTGGGAGAGTTCCCAGGGAGCGTGTGTGGAATGTGCTGGTGGAGTTCGGAAATAAAATATGTTCCTGCTTGAGTGGCTCCTGATTTGTGCCCAGCCAGACTGTGACAGTGAAAGCAATCCATTTGGCCACATGCTTTTGATGGTATTACCTGTTCAAATACCTGCATACGTACTGAAGTCTGAACGCTCTCAGCTGGTATGGGTACTGTTCACCCTGCAAACAGCCACGGGCGGGAGAGAAAGACCTTGCATTTCAACAGTTGACTCTGTGCAGATAGCTTTGAGTAGCAATCATTCATCTGTCTAGGGATTCAAGTTTTAGATACTACTTATTATTCAGCAAAACCTTTCTACTCTCCACATTTCTTTTATAGCTCTATCAATAGAGGATATTAAAAATGAATTTCAACTCATTATCTAAAGTGACGATTTTTTTATTCCAAAAGCATCCTGATTTTTTCAGATTTATGATAGAGCATTAAACACTTGTCTTTGACACTTACGACTATGCACGGCATTGTGCTTTGCTACACTTTTCCCCAGGTGTTACAGACTGTGCTCTTCAGTGCGGTCCAGCAACCAGAGGGATGCAGAACCCTCACGTATGTTGTGTCTCCAGTTTCACTGCAGCAAAGCATTAGAAATTTCCTGGGCTGGGGATGTGGCTCAAGCGGTAGCACGCTTGCCTGGCATGCATGTAGCCTGGGTTAGATCCTCAGCACCACATACAAACAAAGATGTTGTGTCCGCCAAGAACTAAAAATAAATATTAAAAAATTCTCTCTCTCTCTCTCTCTCTAAAAAAAAAAAAGAAAGAAAGAAATTTCCTACTATTTTTCCAAAACACAGCAAGATCCTTGTTTCACGGCCATGAAACCCTGAAAAGGAGTGTGCCAAGAGGAAAACAGACCACACTTTGCAAACCACTGATTCCTTCCACACTGGGCACCAGGGGTAGGGGCTCACACTCACCAAGGGCACGTCCACACCCGCTCAGCCCAGATAGCTCCCCAGGACCCTCACCTGCCCCTTTCAGCTCTTTGTCTTTACTCATCTGCTCTCCCAGATGCTCTCTTCCTGCTTCTCACCCATTGGCAGCACTTGTAAAGTGCAAGTCTGATCATTTCTCACTGCTCTTACAAAGTCTGGGTCACTGAGGACAATAATTGAGCATATAATGCAAAACCCTAAGCAACATAGTGAGACTCTCTCTAAAGAAAAAAATACAAAGGGCTGGGGATGTGGCTCAGTTATCTTGGGTTCAATGCCACGGAGCTACACTCCCTGTCCTTGAGTTTTAAAACCATTGCAATTTAATAATCAAGTAAGCTAAGGTATCAAATATTCAGTGTTTCACTTACTTGATGAACATTTGAAGCTAATTAAATAAAAATTCCATCTAAATAACATTAAAATGTGAATATTACATGGCTTTTTAAAAATAATAATAATAAAATAAAAGCAGGGGAGGAAAGAAGGCACCATGCATACGTTTTCTACCCCTGCTTTGTCAACTGCCTGAACTTTGCCTTTGCTTGTGCTGTCACTTTCCCCTGGTATCCTGTCCCAGGTCCTGGCCCTCCTCGCCCAGCTCCTGCAGTTATCTGAGGACAACACCTAGTCTCTCCTCAGCACTGAGCTCTGGGATCTTCTCTCAGTCCCTTTTGCATGACAGCATGCACATGTCACAGGTGGAAACCACGTGTGCCTGAGCTGTGCATTTCCCCAAGTGCAGCCACGTGTGTTACAGACCTATAGGCACCTATCTTGTCCAACCATAATGTTAGCTCCAATTCCTTGGGAACTGTGACCATGTAGTATTCATATTTTAATATTATGTAGAATATTTTTATTTAATTAGCATCAAAATGTTTATTGAATAAATGAAACACTGAATATTTGATACGCTACCTTAGCTTACCTGATTATTAAATTGCATGGTTTTGAAACTCAAGGACTGGAAGTGTTGTTCAGTGGCAGGGTGCTTGCCTAGCATGCATGAGGCCCTCACTTCAATCCCAGCTCCGCAAAAAAACAAGATGTTCTCCCCTGATGGACACTTCCTGCTTCTTTCTTTCACTCTGCATTTATGTCTCCCAAGGTCCCTTAGGCAATTCTGGACCCAAACCTACCACGGTAAAAGACTCCTGTCCTTAAGTATATGCATTCAGAAATGGTCATGTGGAACAAGGTAGTCTTTAATAAGAGCAAAAAAGTCACCGATTATTCCAGGCACAAATAAGAAATTTGAAATGAGCATGTTTTTAAAGACGCTCTATCACTGCCAGTGAAGACCAGCAGGGGCAGAGGAGGCTGATCTCTTAAGCCTTTATTTGGAATTAACCTCAAATTTTCAAGAAAGTCACACGAAAAACAGTAATACAGAGAACATCTATATGCCCTATTCTCTGATCCACCTACAGTTAAACATTGTCTCCTTTATAACTTATTTTTAAAATCTTCATTATTTCAACTGATATACAATAACATTCAAATCTGTGTTACTGGAGCACCATGTGCTGTCTCCATGCCTGTATACATTGTGTATTATTTAAATCACTAAAGGTATATGTCTCCTAAAATGCTGATCAGTTCTTGATGGTTAGAATGTTCAAATCATGGCTTCTCCTTTCTGAACTACACAGTGTGTGCCTGCCATCTGTAACCCCCTGCTGTGCAACAGCACACTAGAACTTCTCTCTCTCAGTTGTACACCTTGTCCTCTGAATGCTACCGTCACTGTTTTCCGAGAACATGGCTCTTCTCTTGTAGAATCGGTGGAGTTAGGGGCTCCTGTGGGATTCCACATGGCTACCATGTCACTGCATAATGCACTTTGGGTAGACGAGGGTGAAACCCAACAGCTTTCTGGTTCAAGGAGCAATTCCTGAAAGAGGTGTGAAAATGAGCTGAAGTGCCATGGTGGTCTTAGCATCTGAGGAGTAACCTTGGGAATCAATTCTAAACTCATGGTGCTCAGAATGAAGGAACTTGTAAATATAAATAGGTTATCATAACAATTTCTTACGCTGTGTTTTCTTTAAAAACTGGTCCCACATTCAACATTTTCTTTAGTGCTCCCATGACATCCTTATTCCTAAAACTATAGATTAAAGGATTCAGCACAGGGGTGAGTATGGTGTAAAAGACGGACACCATCATATCCTTCTCTGGGGTGTGGCTGGATCTGGGGAGCATGTAGGTTTAGATAGCAGCCCCATAAAAGAGAATGACCACCATCATGTGTGAGGAGCAGGTGGCCAGGGCCTTCTTCCTGCCCTCTGCTGAGTTCATCCTGTGGATAGTGAGCAAGATAAAGTAGTAAGAGCCTGAAATGACTGTCACCGGGATGAGGAGCATGAGGACGCAGCACAGGTACATGAAAACCTCATAGAGCGAGGTGTCTGAGCAGGAGAGCTTCAGTACAGCGGGGACAAGTGCTGGATCTCCCGGGATCTGCAGAATGGGAAGGTCATAGTGACAGGAGTGAACATGAAGCCATCCACTGATCCCAGGAACCAGCAGCCAGATGCCAGGAGGAGACACACCCTGTGGTTCATGAGGACAGGGTAATGGAGCGGATGGCAGATGGCCACATAGCGGTCATAGGCCATGGCTGCCAGAAGGAAAAACTCAGAACCTGCTAGAGTCACATAGAGGAACATCTGTATCCCACATTCTGGGACAGAGATGGTACTCACACCCAGCACTTGGTCCAGGAGCATCTTGGGCACAGTGATGGAGATGTACATCATGTCCATGAGGGACAGCTGGCTGATGAAGAAGTACATGGGGGTGTGAAGCTGGGTGTTGGAGTGTATCAGGATGATCAGGACAGCATTTCCAGACAAGGCCATCAGGAAAACCATAAAGATGACCACACAAAGCAGAGCTGGGTGTTGGGATTGCCTGAAGAGTCCCACTAGGATGAAATCTGCCCACCCCGTGTGGTTGGTCATCCAGGGGGTGATGTCCATGAGGCTCCACCTGGGCCACCAAGAAAGCTTTGGTTAGTGTTGTGCAGAAGGCTGAAATGAATGGTGTATGTGTGTGTGTTTATGCATGTGTGTGTGTGTGTGCCCACCTAATTATGCTGACCAGAAAAGTCCTACAGGTCTGTAACTTTGGGGCTTATAAATTACTTGTAATTCAATGAATTTCCCAGAAATTAATAATTCACCACTGTGGGACTGTGGCTTAAAGGGATTGGCGGTTCATACTGAAGTGACCAGAGTTGGGAGATGTGCGCGTCTTGATAGAAGATGCTGTTTGTAAACCAATGTTGGAAATTTGAAAAGTCACCACTGTGAGCAAACACAGACAGTAAATCACTGGAGAAAAGATAAATAAAACTCCTTATTTCTAAGCTTTTGTCATAGAAATCTGAATTGAATCAGCCTCTCTGGTTTAAGGCTTCTGGTGAGATCCTAACGAATGTGAGAAGTACATTCCTTATCTAAAGATTTAGAACATTTCTAAAACATCATTTGAGGAAAATTCATACCAAATGCTTCATCCCCTTCTGTCCACGGTATCAAACCCCATGTGAGTCTCTGTGGTTTTGTGGATAAAACCCTGATACATCTCTGATATCCTGGTGAGTCCAAATTCTCAAAAGACCCCTGATGGACCTAAGCATAAGCAGCCCAGAGTCTTCACCCGGGGATCCAGGGACGCTCCCTCCCTGACCCTCTTCTGTTCATTCTGCTTGACCTCAGGTGTGGTGAGACTCAACTAAACACAGTAAGGAATGTTCCCAGAACCTTGCCAGTGGATAAACAAATGTGCTCTCAAAGTTCATATTCACATTAATTATTTTGCAAAAGGAGCCTGGTGCTCTTAATGGTCTTATGGCATAAGACATGTTATGGCATCGGTATCTATATGACCAACCAAGGAGGTGAAATTGGAAATTTTGTACTCCCAGACAATTTAAGTGTCTGAATACTTATTTATATAAATTTGTATGAACTGTGTATATGGATTATATAAACCCATATAATATATACTTCTTAATCTTGTTGGCCAGTTTTGCTGAGCACCTGACCCCCTTTCTTGTAGTACTTGCCTCTTATGGTTCTTCTCCTTGAGCTTCTTCCACTTGCATTAAATCTCAGGGAGGAGGGCCAGGACTTAGAGGGTCACTGTCTTTGCCAGACAAGGATTCTGCTGGTTTTGCAAATGCCACCTGTATTATTGCCTGCTGCAATCAGTTTGTCAGGGGAGCTGAGATGCCCTCAGGACCACCGAACAGCACTTAGATGTCTCTATTAGTGGACTACTCCCCCCTCTGTCTTGCCACTCATAGCTTGCTTCTGCACTAGACAGTGAAGACAAATCCAAAATTAATTAAACTTTATAACTTTTAGGGAAGGTGTGGTTACTCTATCCAGGGAATAGAGTAAAATAAATAAAATAAGTTAAATAAATAAAACAAGTTAAATAAAATAAGTAAAATAAGTTAAATAAATGTGACTTAAAGTGCAATGTTAGAAGAGCTACAAAATAAGAAAGAGTAACAGAAGCAAAAACTACTTGGTGTTTCTAAAGAAGGCCCATAATGATTTCTTCTACTTATTGCCTACGGAACAAAATTGTTCCAACTTGTCACTTTCTAATGGACCTTGCAAATGTGGGCTGTTCTGGGGATGGCTTTGACAGTGGTCATGATACAGGGGTATTTCAGGGAAATTTTCCAAGTTTTAAGTGCAATGCTATGTTCTTACAATAATAATAATTCTAAACACTAGCTAAAACACTTGACTTTTTAGCAAGTTCAAGTTCTGGAGGTGCTGATGCAGTAGACAGCACATCAATGTTTATCAAATCCAGGACACATTGTACTTAAAATTATAATATTTCTATGTTATCACCTGCATTGGCAGATGGAAGCTGAGCTTTAGACAAGGCACACTTGCCAATTCAATCCCAAACTTGTGGTCAGAATGGGGCAAAGATTTGGCTGGAAGCTGCTTGCTGTTAGTGGTGGGAGAAAATGGTAGATGGTGCTGGGCAAGACTCGTGCACTTGAGTAAAATGCCACTGTCATCAAGCCACAGCCAAGAGCTGATCTGGTGCACCAGGGAACACATCTCTGGGTCTGTATCATGCACAGTGACCACCTCCTTTCCGATGCTTCCCCTTCTCTGTGCTTGGTTTTTCCGTAGCACAGTGTGTGTTTAGTCTGGAGAACTGTCGGTGCTGGTGGCAGAGCAATGCAGATTTTATTTGAAGCTTACAGCTCTGTCAAGCAGACTACCCTGAAAATCTGACCCCTTTCCTCTCTAGTACGTGCTTCTCAAAGTTCACCCCTGTAAGCTCTTGCCATTAATATTAAATCTCAGGAAGGACAACCAGGAATTAGAGGGCTTGACAGTACTAGGGCTGATTTACCAAATTTCATCTTCCCCGAGAGTCTGTGAAGTACACACTCATCTTATTTTGACCTTTAAGAGTTGAAAAATCCAAATTCTTGGGGGCATCCGTAAGGTCACCCGGCTTCCCTCAGTCCACTGTGGAGCCCAGAATCAAATCTGCTCAGTCCTCTTGGGGACAGAGTCCTCCCTCCACAGTTTGTAATTTGGATTTTAGGCCACTTGATATCAGCTTGATCAAAGAGCATAAATATGATTCAGACACTGTTTTCTCATTTAGAAAGAATTTCAAAGTCAAAATCAGTCATTCTTCCTCTGCAAAACTTACTATATTATTTACATCCAGTGATACGGAAAGAATGTATTTCAATTTACCCAGAAATAATTGGAAGGTAAAAACCCCTTTCCTATTATATTACACTAAATATGCTTTACAGGAGATGACATTCAAAAGAAAAAGACATCCATTTTTCTGCATACAAGTAGACGATAACAAAATAGCACCACAAGGAAATGCAGTGACATCCTAATAGACCACCTCTGGAGCAAAGCACTCAAGAGCAGTGATCCCCTCAGCCCTGCTGCATGTGGCCGTTTGGCTAACCTCACCTCCAGATGATGCCTCAGCCTCATCCACGGGTGTGCAAAGAAGAGTCAGAACGTGACATCATCCTGGCTCTGGGAGCCCATTCAGGAGTGGAGATGGTTTTCTGCAGACAAATCCCCTCTGGGACTTTGAAGAGGATATAATTAAGAGAGCTAAAGAGGCTATCATTACTGCTGTCCTTTTCTGGCTTCTCATTTTTTTTAAAAAAAATTTCATTTTATTTTCAAACACAAAATCTTGTTAATATAAAGATATTAACAATCATTGCACATTTCATCACCACCTCCAAGTTCTTATGTATGAATTATGTGTCAGTTGAATCTGTCCTATTCCATTTTACATAACATTTGTGGGTCTCTGCAGGTGATATGTGTGGAATGCCACCATCTCCCCTCTTATCTCATATATATATATATATATATATATATATATATATATATATATATATTTTAACTTGGCATTCAGTTTCTCTCTTGCAGACAAATCATTCTCAATTTTTTCCCAGTGTGAGTTCTAGAATGATGCTGGTCATCTCCCCTAACACAGAGGTCTAGTGACAGCTTCATCTACACACTGTTGGTCAGGCTGCCTCCTGAGCAGCAGCCACCTCTGACCTGCAGGGTTTCAGGCTGAAGATGGTTTGTCCTGCCTTCTTGGCCACCTACTTTCCTGTAAGGCTGTGAATTGCAGCCCCAGGGTCCTCTGGAGGGTGGGAGGAAGAAAGAAACTGGGTCTTTTCTCCCATGTCTGGAGATGGTCCCTGGCAGCAGCAGCAGGAGGAGGCAACAGGACCATGTCCATATTTCAGGATCTACCCCAACTATGTTCCTGCAGCGGCTTGCAGGTGTCTAGTTTTCTGCATTTCAGTAGTGGAGGGTGCCACCGCAGCCCTGAGGGCCATCTCCACCAGCTCTGTGGCAGGGTCACAGGAGGCTCCCAGTCTGAGTTGCTAGCATTCCCCTCCCGGCTTCCCCAGCTGTGTCTCCAGGCCTTCGACGCCTCTATGACCAGTTTCCTGGGAAAACTCTCCTACACTAAAAGTGCGTGAAACTGTATGTGGCTGAACACAGTGAGGTTATGTTGCATTATGTTAATTATGACATAGTTGCAATCCTCCTTAAATACTGAATAGTTATATTGGGATCAGATTTCTAACTGATACAATGTGGTAGAGCTTTTATCTTTTTGATGTGTGTGCATTTAAGGTGAAGGATATGGTGTTCTGATAAACACAGTGAAATGATTACCAATGACTGGCACAGTCCAACAAATTGAGAGGTCCATCTCCTCCCACCTCACCTCTCCCATGGTAGGTGATGCTAGGCAAGGGCTCAACACTGATGTGGGGATGGGCAAAGACTTGGGGAGTGCTGCCATGGGACGAGGGTGTTTGCAGGTGAAGACGTGGAATTGGGGAGTGCCAGAGTCTTATAGGTTGGACTGTCACACCATGAATTCCTAGTACCCAGTACCTCAGAATGTGGCTTTATTGGGAAATAGGGCTGTTTCAGTTAATTGAAGTGAGGTGAGGTCCCTAGTGAGGTGATCAGTGTCCTCACACAAGGGGTGACCTGGACACACAAGCTGTTGTAACAGCTTTGGAGTCACAAAGCCATAGCCCAGGAGCCAGCAGGAGCTGAGGCAGAGGCCACAACCAGTTCCTGCTTTTCTCCTGCAGAAAGCCAGGGGCTCAGTGATGTCCTGACCTCAGACCTGTGGTTCCAGAACCCTGGAGCAACACTTCTGGTATTCTAGGCCACACGGGCCTAGTGCTCAGTTACAATAGCCCTGGTGAAGTGACAGGATCTCCTCTGCTCTTGGGAAGCATGACAACCTAACAGCAGGCAGATGGCCATCCTCCCAAGATGGTGCTAACCTGATGCCTATGAGGGAGATCATTGGAACAGCAGCGCACGGGGAGTATGACGTTCCTATTTGAAAATCTTTAAAAAAGAACAATATTGGAGATCAGGGCTTCCAGATACTTAAATACACC